GGGGATGGGAAAAGCTGACTGTGGACTTTTCACCTGCCCCTGTTAATCCTACGAGAAGAGGATTGGAAGAGGAATGAGCTCTGGTTTTAGTGTCCGAAGAAGTTCAAAGGTTTAGCTTGCATTTCCGTAAATGGTCACGCTGGGAACATTTTTTGTTTTCGCCATTCGTGTTATGACCTCACCTGGTAACAGATTTTTGGCTTTCTTTACGTCTGCTGCAGGGAACCACGGGGAAGACCTAGTGGAGAGATTTTCCCCAATTAAGGACTGCAGGTACAAAGTAGGCCTGTCTGAAGCTGTCGCTTTCAGTACAGTTGTTGGCTGGCTTTTCCGTTACCCCCTTCCTATTGGTAACGATCAGGTAACTGGCTTCTGCCAAGCCTCGGTATGAGCAACTGTCTATAACTGATATCTTGTTGTCATGCCGCGAAAAGCAAAATTGTTTTCCAGCAAATGTCCTTGTCATGTTCCTCTGCGTTCGTCTGAAACTGGCAGCGGGGAAGGAGGCTGGCTGTGGATTTCGGAGTGGATAAAAAGCGTAGCACCTGGACTTCTGATGTTAGATTGCCACTTCTTTGTGCAACCTGGGAGAGAATCCCCTGCCGCAGCTGCCTCTCGCTCCAGTTTTAGTAAGATGTGGTTTGATAGGCAGTTCAGAGCAATGAAGATCCCCTGGATGAGGATGAGACGAGAGGCTCAAGGACAGTTCTGGGCTCTGCTGTGATGAATGGAAGAGAACTGCCTTCTGTTCTACCTCACTTGTTAAATACAGTATGGAGGAGGTCAGGTGACCTGCAGTGTTTTTTTTAAATGGGAATGCCTTCTTTGTCCTTTAGCAAAGCTAACACTTATGAAAAGCATGCAGGACTCCATGATGGTCTTTTCTACTGGATCAAAACCGCAGAAAGCAGTTGTTCGGGCATCCTCAATGTGTTCCTTTTTAGTTTCCAGTAGTTTTCTACTGAGGGTGAAAAAGTCCTCCATCTATGCCCCCTTAGGATTGTTTTTCCTTGAATCGGATGTCCCTTTAATCTCCTTCCAGGCTGGAGATTGAGTCTGAATTTAGCCTGTCTGTACCGTATATGACAAGCTCTTGAACCCAGAAATCGTTCTTGTTGCTTTGACATGGAGTCCTGGTAAAGCAGCAGTATGTTATGTTTTTAATTTGCTGTATGGCAGCCTCTAAAGCCGAATGCTCTATTAAATGAGGTCTTGATAACGGAAGCATTGCAAAGCTGGAGCCTGACATTCCTTGTTTTAAATTCTGCACCTTTACTATATATCCAAGGGTCAATACCTATAGATTGAATTATTTTAGACATTCATGGTGAAGGAACCAGACTGCTTTTTCGCCAAGTAAATAAACTAGCAGATGGTATTGGAATGTGAAGTCTTCAGTATATGCCTTGCTTCTCTTGGGCACAGATGTTAGAAGTT